CTAGATGTGAATACTCGATACTTATAAAGATTGTATTGAAAACTTTCTAAATTTTTATTTTTTATAGGACGCATATACTAGTGTTGCAAAATGCCTCTTCCCAAGTTATGTTTACCCTACCCAGGCTGTAATCAAGGAGACTTTTAAGTCTTATATAGATGAAATATTTTCAGATTTCATGTCTAACATAAGCCCAAATGAATTTACTAACCATTTTTACAGTAAATAGTTGACTCAGGTAATTTTTTTTTTTTTAATTATGCATTGCTTATAGCCATTAGTAATTATTTATACTTTTTTTATATATTTATTAACTATAATCTATATTATTAGGTAATGTATCTTTTAATTAGAGCATATAATATTTGTAATATTGAATAATTTGTTACTATTATTTTATAATTCCTTCAAAAAATTAAGAATAATCATGGTGTGGCCCTTCAAAGTGTTAGGTCTGCAGTTTGGCATATATTTGGGCATGAAAGATTGCCTTTTCTGAAGAGTAATGCAGCTGTGGCCAATATTGTTTAGTGAAAAGAAAGCTTACAAGTAAATGATTGTTATCATGTGCTTTTTGAACAAAACAACAAAGGTGTTTATTGGATATCAGTAATCACATGAACTGCATTTTCTACTGTGGTAGTTTCTATTTTGACAAATGAGCATAGTGTATTCACTCTTTCAGTATGTGACATCCTATTAAACCCCTAATCACGAAACATTTTATGCATAGAGATGTGTATGAAACATTGAATTGAAAATTTTTGGTAAGTTATTGAAATTTATTTTAGTTTTAATATCATATAATATTAACACTAACATATCATATTAGATTGATATCGAAAGTGGTGATTTATCACACAAAAATGCTGAAGCTCTTTAAAGTGAAGGTAAAGGTAAAGCTTATGATAATAAACGAGATGATGAGGGTTCTCCTCAATATAATCTTGATCTCGAATCTCTTCCTTGGAATATTTCTTCAATAAGTCTTTCCAAAGATAAGTTGAATAAATTGTATAGCATTGCTTAATTGTGATTTATAATTCAATATTTTTTTTTATATATTTTTTTTATATATTTTTTTTATGTATTTTTTTATGTATTTTTTTTTTATGTATTGTTTTTTTTTTAATATTTTGTATATTATGTATTGCTTATTGTATATATTATCTATTGCTTATTGCTATAATATTCAATAAATAAATTTATATACATAAATTGATAATTATTTTAAAATTTGTTAAAAGTATTATTATAGTTATTGGTATAAAGTTAATAGTACTAAATATATTTGATATATATCGATATTATACTAAATCATTTTTTATCAATTTTCTATTGTAATGGATATATATCAATATATATCTTAATCAATATAACCCAACAGGTGAAATTACTATCGATATATATCTGTTATGGTTAATAATCGATATATATCAACCTATTTTTTTTGCTGATATTATTATCTTCTTTAATACTAAAGCTTAGAAGTAAGAATTTTCTTCTATTAAATTTAATTGCACAAAAGACAATCTATTTAATTTCTATTTATATATAACATCTGTTGCCTCTATTTCTTTTTTTATAATTCTATTTTGTGTTTTTTTAAATTTAAATTCTTCTTTACTTGTTTTAGTTCAAGTTTAAAAGAATTAATTTCAGATAAGCTTGTTTTAGCTAGCTTCTTTAGTAACCCTTCTGAATCTTGATATGCATATAATAGAAAACCTATATGTTCTAGTTTCAGATACTTTACTTTAGCTTTCAATTTATTTATTTTAGTTTTGAGAGAAAGAATTTTAATCTTATTGAAAAATAAAGTTTTCTAAGACAAAGTTACTTCTCTCTTTAATGAATTAATTAAAAATTTGAGAGATTTTATTTCAGCAAAATGTTTAACTTCAAGCTCATTACAAGACATTCATTTAGAAGTAATTTGAAATCTAAGTCTAGTATTAACTGCATCTATCTGGCTAATCTTATTTTTAACAACAGCATTAATTTGGTAAAACTTCTTCTTTTGCTTTGAATATTCTGAAATTTTAGTTCACAACCTTTTATTAAAATCATTAATTTTAAAGTTATATTTAATAGCTAAATTTAATTTTTTTTTAAGCTTTTTCTCATATATGCTTTCTATAATAGTCTGTGTCTTCTATTTTTTATATTTTTCAGTATATACACATTAGACATAATTTTGATATAATTATATAGCAAAAAAAATACATTGCAATTTATTTTTTTTATATAAATACTATATATATTAATATGCATTAATAATATATTAATATATATTAAAGAGTATTAATATATATTAGTAATATATTAATATATATTAAAGAGCATTAATATGTATTAGTAAAATTAAAATACTGTATATTAATATATATTAAAAAGTATTGATATACATATATTAATATGCATTAATATTTATTGAAGATTATTATTTTTTTCTAGTATATAAAATAAAATCTAGTAAAAATAGTAGCACATATTTATGATACATTTTATAATGCTAAGACAATTTTTTTATTAGAAGCTAATATCAAAGAAATTAGAGAATTTAGAGATAAGATACCTAATGTATCAAAAAAATAACTAATAAATTTTATATTGAATCCAAGCATGTTTATAAAATTTAGGATAATAAAGAATGCCTCCAGCAAGATGTTATTCTATCTTAGCCTGTTTTGGTTAAAATTTTCTAAACTGGTAAGATAGAACAGATTGAGTCAGATATATATAATTAAAATGCTTTCCTTTTTACAGAACTAGAAAATAAAAATATATAATATAAGAGTAGAGCCTAACAAATCTATTGATTTAATTTCAGAAGGAGGTAAAGCAAAAAAGTTTGAAGAAAAAAAATCAAAACTCAAAAATAAGCTAGCTTTATTAACACTATTTACTATTCAGTCTTAACTCATAAATTTAAAAGGCTTAGATATAAATAAAAAGAAATTACATGCATTGTATAAGGAGATGATTGAAAGAAGCAATAAAAATTTAGCAAATATAAAAATATAACTTTGAAAATAACTAACCTATTTTTTAAAAAATTTATTATAGCATGTCTGTAGTTTTTTACAATATTCATTAATATTTGTATTATACTTAAAATAATATATAGTGTTTTTTCAAGCTTCTCTTAGTTTTTTAAGTTTTTTTTTAATATATTATCATTCTCACTTAAGTTTTGCAAGTCTTGTGAAATACATTTTAAAGGCACAAACCTTTTATATTTAGAAGTAATGTTTATATAATTTACTTTATGCTTATTTTTGACTTTATGCATAATTACTGAAATGATATAATCTTTTTCATTATAAGTGAAGTTTAATTTATTTTTACTCTAATCCACAAGGCAATTGTATTTCTTTAAAAGCTGATTAGAAAATATTAAAATTGGCATGTTATATTTTACAATAATAAAATCTTTATAAATAGTAAGTCCAGAAGCTAGAGTAATAAATAAATCATAAACTACATCAATAGATTCAATCAGAACAGTAGTAATATTACTAAGATTATGTATTTTATACTTATCAATTTTAGTTTTTACATAATTAACAATATTTTCAGTTATTATAGAAGGCTCTGCTCCAAAATCAAGAATTATAACAGAGATTTTAAATGTTTAATTTTACATTTTACAGTTGCAATACTTGTAGCTAGCTTTTTCTTCTTGATAAAATCAATTTTTATAAAACTATCTAAGTACTTTTTCTCTTCTGTATCTAGTACTAGGTTTTTAGAAATTAGTAAATTTTCACTTTAAGGCTCTATTTTCTTCTGTATAAGAGATATCTGTTTTGATGTATTAGCTTTATTAGAATTAGAATTAGTATTTAAAAAAAATATTGCAGAAAAAATTAGTTTAAGTTTACTTTGGAGAATTTTACAAATAGTTTCCTCTAATAAAGTTTTAGATATCTTCTTAAAGGACAATTTCTTGAAGCTAGAGTCCTGCTTTACTTTTTTTTAACTTTGCAATATTAACAGTCATATCACTTTCAGAATTAAAAAATTTTTTTAAACTTGTATAGAGTCAGAACTATTACTAGAAAAAGTATTAAAGAAAGTATCTAAATCTGAATCTATAGTAGTGAAGTTAACTTTATTCTTTTTAGACTTCTTGTCTCTCTTTTTCTTATTTCAAGATTGGCATTGTACTTAATAACTTTTTTTATAGCTTTATTTACAACTGCATTTATTAATAACTTATTCATATGATTAGCTAATTCTTTATTGGAGCAACTTTACTCTTTTTTATTGCTAGTTTTAAAAATAAATAAGGCTTTAAAATAGGAATAAATTTTGGGACTTTCTCAGTAATTCATTATAAAAATCTACTAATATTTGTATTTTATATAGTTTGATATGTTCTTAAGAGTTGTGATCTATAATAAGCTTTAAATAGTTGTGCTAATTATATTTTCTAAAAAACTGATTGTGAAAAAACAGGTTGCATTTGTGCAGGTGTTATCATAGATTTTATCAAGTTTTTAACTTCAGTTTTAGTTATATCTAAATAATTGTCTTTTTTATAAGCTTTTTTTAAAAAAATTGAATCTGAATTTGAATACAAGTAAGCTTCAAATAATTGTTCTACTATAAATCTTTCAAGTTTTTTAAGTTTTGAAAGTAGAGTTCAGGGCACAGAGGCATGAGGCATGCCCCTAAGGGCATGCCTCTAGGGCATGCTTATGGGCATGCCTCAAGTCCAAAGGGCATGCCCTTGTTATGTAATGTTTAAAGTTATTTTAATTAGCTAATAAGTTCAGGTAAACTAGAACTGTAGATACTCAATCAACATGTAAGATTTTTAAACTATATGTTAATCATATAATTTTAAAAGGGCATGCATATGGGCATGAGAGGCATGCCTTAGCTTAGAAGCATGCCCATATGAGCATGCCCAATTTTTTTCCCATGCTCTGAACCCTATTTGAAAGTAATTCATCTATAGGTTTTTCGATTTTCATACATCAAACTTCTATTTAATTAGTTGATAAAAGTCTATGAAAAAATTGTAATTGAATTTGTTCTTCATCAATATTAGCAAGTTTGACCAATCTACACAATTTTGAATAAAAACAGCCAACTAAGTTACTCTTTTGGATAGTTGAACCAAAAAGTATTCACTGTTTCTTTGCAGTAACTGTAGAAGAATTGGTCTTAAACTAATATAATATTTGGCTAAGCATAATTTCAACTACAACTATAGTAGCTTCTGTATTAGCATTTGGTGTATTAGATAAACAATCTATTGGTCTTTTATTAGTATAAGACCAATTTTCTTTAAACACTGTATAGGCTAGAATTACAAAATTACTAGCTTATTTATTTGCATAATTTAAGGCCTATGTATCTAATTGAACTCTTGTTTATTCTTAAACCAGAGCTAAAATGCTTTGTTTAGTATTATCTAATAAATTTTTTAATTTTCAATTTTTTCTTTGAATAGTTCTTTTATACTAATCTTTGGTATTAGCTTTAAGACATGTTTTAAAAAGTTCATGTGCATGAACACTATTAGTATGCCTACTAGCTTTATTGATTCTGGCAGCCATGAAATATAAATAAAAAGAATCAATAAATTCTTCTGGATCTTTATTGAAATATCTGTGATAAGTTAAAAATGCATATCCTGCATACCTCTTCTATTGTTATTTATAGATTGATTATTTTGAAGCACAAAATTTGCTAATTTAAATTAAAATCTTCTGGTATAAATTTTTTTCTTTAGCCTTTGATTTCTTATATTGTTTATAAAGTCTGTCTTTATTATATTCTAGCAAACCTCTATCAGCTCTGCACTATTATTGATAATAAACATTTTATTGATATAAGATTTGTAAAACAAATTTTTCTTGCAGTAATACATCAATACAGATTCACTTTTCTGTTATATTGTCTAATATTCTGTTTACTTAATTTTGAGCATTAGTCTACAACTAATTATACTTTTGCATTGCTTAATCATCTCCTGTCTGTATATATTATAGTTCTATCATTTGTTTACCAGATCTTGTTGCAAGTTAGCATATTTATATTGAATTGACCTTGTTAATCTTTTAATTTGATTTGTTAAAATAGTTCTACATATTGTTATATTATCTAAAAATTAGTTTATAGCATTAGCCAATTCAAATATTGTATCTATATCTAAATTTTGATCAAAATTATAAATATCTAAAGAATTCTTATTAAAATTAGATTTATTTTTGTAGAGTTGGCATGCTGGTTGGTATGAAAAAAGCTTGATAAAGTAGATAAAAGCAAGATTACGAAACTCGAATTAAGCAAAATACTTGTTGGAAGAACTTTAGCAGATAAGGTTAAGCACTATGAGTCATGTATACATGGCTTAGCAATAGAAACTATGTTTAAGAAATTATATATAAAGCAAGTGTCATGAAGAGGTACAAAACATTCTGTGAAACTATATATTAGGATTGTTGAAGAAATGTTTAGAGAAGAAATATAATAAAGAAGATGCAAAACAG